AAAATGCAATATGAATATCGTGTGAAGTTATGTACTAATGCATCCTAGAGRATAATGGCCCCCAAATCTTCCATATGCTTTGGCAGTATGGTCGACTTGAGTGGAGAATTTCATGCGCCTGCACGGGAACCGAAATTCCACGAAGGTCACACTACTCAGTCTCCGATCTAATCTTAAGGGTAAAGCCTGGGTAGGAGGCTTGTGAATGTGTGTGAGATGCGTGATGATGCAAAATAAAATCATAATGCATATAAATATTTACAAAAATTGAAAAAAATAACAAATRACAAAAATGGACCCAAAACATATTACAATAGGATAATAGACGACAAAATAAATGGCTTGACTTTGTTAATACTCCCTAGTGGAGTCACYAAGCTGTCGCAAYGTCATCGCGACGCGGAGCRGCCGRCGTCATCCCATGAAGGCTCTCTTTCGAGATAAGGGTTTGGAGTCGCCACCAATCATCTACGAGGTGTGATTGCTCACCTATTTTAAAAACTTGGTCTACGAAAAACAGATTTTGGTTTGGGAGTCGACTGAGYGTARGGAAGGTATTAGCACCCTACGACACCCGTTCGAAAACGGTACCACATTCTATCATAAATTATMCTATTATTTTATTTGGYCCAAGAAAAAAATATTTTTGTTTTGATCGAAATGTCCCATGTTATATTGATTCGCGCCTTGTTATAAGATATGMATTAATATATATGAGTGACACGAAGGCCATTAGAAAAATTAAGCACCTCGAGTAAATTGGAGGGTTTCAATTCCCGTCATTGGAGTTTTCAAAATAATTATTTAGTAAAAAAAATAATAACAAAAAATTTTTATTTTAAGGCACATTGAGACTTGAGCTCGTGACTTAAACGTTGACATGTAAACATCTCACCAATGTGCAAACACATTGGAATATAAGCTATGACCCCTTTTAAAATACAAAGTTTGTATTTTTTGAATTTTGTTTAAAAAAAAACTCTAAACGAAATCTTTATTTAAAATAATTATTTAGTAGAGACAATGATTAAAAAAAAAAGAAAATAAATAAAATAATTTTAATTTAAGGCATGTAAAGACTCAAACTTGGGGTCATATATATTATAACCCAAACATCTTACCACTATACTAACACCATAGATGCAAACATTGTACACTTTTACAAAATCAAAGCTTTTAACTTATTTTTTAAAACTAAAAAAAAAACTTACGAATTTTGTTTAAAAACAACTTTTTATTTATTTCGAAATTAAAGAGATTCTTCAAAAGAAAAAAAAAATTATTTCAAAATAAAGTCAAATTTACTTTAAACAAAATTTATTTGTTAAAACTGATATTTTGTTAAGATTCTTTTTCAAAAGATAACTGATATTTTGTTAAGATTCTTTTTCAAAAGATAACTATTTATAAAAACTAAAAGATCTTCTTGAAATCCTATTTTTTATTTCCTTCCTTTAAATCTCTGCAGAAGATAATTAAAAAGAAACTCGATGTCAGGAGAAAAAGAAAAAGTCAGACTTGGAGAAGGAAGAGAAATATTTTTTTTTTTTACTTTTACACTTTTTTAAAAACATATTTAAAAAAGAAAACTTGTCTTTTCAAGCTTTCTTTATTTACCTAAAAAAAATAATTAATTTTAAAATAAATTCTATTTATTTAAAACTTTGATTTTGAAAGGCTTATTCTCTTTAAAATTTTAACTGCTATTAAACACAGTCTTTTTATTTTAATTATAAAATAAAAAAAATAAACGGTAAATTAAATTCAAAATCTACCAATTTAAAAAAGAACAAAAGAAAAATCTACCAATTTTAAATAAAAACTGCCAAAAAAATCTATACTCAAAATATGGGATTTTTAACAAAATACAACCTCTAAATTAGCTCCAAAAACTGCCATTTATAACAAAACACATATCATAAACCTTCAAAAATCAACAATGAAAAACAACCTTAAATAATGGGGAAAAAAGTTCCAAAAGCAATTGAAATCACAATGAAAGCAGTGATTATAAAAACACAAACACAATTTACTCACCTTGCTTACCCCTGTAGGAGAAAATGATGATTTCTAGAGAGAGAATAAGTGAAAAAGAAAGGGAGAAGCATAGAGATGACTGAGAAAAAAAAAAAACTCTTTTGTTCTGCTGTTTTCTGCACTCCTCTATGCTTACTCTCTATATCCCTGCTGGTCCCTCTATATCCCTGCGTGTCCTCTTGTGTTTCCCTCAGACTTTCTTAAATACATGCAGATGGCAACGGTAATATGGAGAGGGTAAAAGAGAGTTAGAGAAAAAGAAGGGAGAGTTAGAGAAAAAGAAGGGAATGAAAGGGAGAAGAGGCCACATACGTGGCTTTGATTGGAAAAAATCAAAGAGGAGAAAAAAAAAACTGTTATTAAAAACAATCATTTAAATTAAAAACCTAATTTATAAAATAAAACTAAAAAAAATCAAATCAAATCAAATTCTTTTTTAAAACAAAATTTATTTTTTTGGTTAAATTTAATTTAATTAAAACTTTACATTAAAACTTATAATAAAGTAAACTTATGTTATTTTTTTAATAAAAATTAAAAATAAACCGGACCAARTACGGTGTCTACACTACCAATTTCCAAGTTTGATTCATAACTATGGAGTCTAGCTCACTTTTAATAGCTTCTTTTCATAGGCTAGAATCTAAGACATTTATAGCTTCTTGGTAGGTTTTAGGATATTCGTCTATCAAATACATGTAATCGAACTGATTATCTATCTTGTCAAAGTTTTTTACTAGATAGGAAGTTAGGAAGTCAGGTCCAAAGTTTTTACTAACATTTTGCCTTTTACTTCTCCCRGGTTCAGAATCTATTGTATCATTAGATCTAGGTTTAGGGTCTAGCATATCAATAGAAGTGGAGGGCAATGACATGCATGCARTTTTTGAAGTACCACCAGATTCACCATTCGTTCTAATCATAGGGAAGATATTTTCAAAAAATACAGCATCTCTATATTCACATWTTGATTTTTCATTCAAGCTCATGAGTTTATATGCAAAACTATTTTGARCATAACCAATGAAAACACAATCAAAAGTTTTAGATCCAACCGTAGGTTTTTTGAATGCTAGATATGCCACATTTGCGAAACACCCCCACACCTTCAAGTAGCTTAGGTTTGGTGAATACCCTTTCCAGAGCTCGTATGATGTCTTATCCTTTTGTGAGGGACCCTATTAAGAATAAAACAGGCAGAAAATGCAGCTTCCGCCCACATATCATCAGATAAACCAGAACTTAATAGCATGATATTTATTTATCATTTCTTTTAAAGTTTTATTTTTCCGTTCAGCTATTCCGTTTTGTTGAGGTGAATATGGAGCAATAAATTTATGTATAATTCTACTTGATTCACAAAAATCCTTAAGCGAAKTATCACTATATTCACCACCCCTATCTAATCTTATCCTTTTTATTTTTTTGTTTAATTGGTTTTCTACTTTATCTTTGAATTTCAAAAACATACTACTAGCTTCATCTTTAGGTTCTATGAGATATATTTTCGTATATCTAGAAAAAGCATCAACAAAATAAATATAATATTTTTTCCACCTCTGCTAGTTGTGAATTAGCTAAATTAKAATGAATTAATTCTAGGAATTCAATAMGCTTTGTAATGACAGATTTAAAAGGTTTTTTTTAGCAAACTTTGTTTCTACACAGATAGGAMACTTTGTAGTTTSAGACAAATCAAAAGCATTAATTAAATTTAAAGTTCTAAGCCTTTTAATTGATGCAATATTTACATATCCTAATCTACCATGCCAYACATCAAGAGACTCAACGATGTAAGCAGAACTAGAATTAGTTTAATCTGAAGAAGTAGTGTTGAGAATAGACAAACCATCTGCTAMATAGCATTTACCAACAAAGTAACCATTTTTTGTGATAATAACCTTATTGGCCTCAAACACAATCCTAAGTCCGGCTCGGTTTAGTAGATCTCCTAACACCAGATTCTTACACAGGGAAGGAACAGTACATTACTTAATGATAAAATTTTGCTAGATGTGAGTTTCAAGAGAACCTTCTCTTTCCCAARTACTCCAACTGTGGTAGAGTTCCYYATAAAAATACATTAACCATYAACAGAGTCCTGAAAGTCATGGAAGAGGTCACAGTTCGAGCAGAAATGTCTGGACGYTCCTGTGTCAAGAATCCAGTCGCATTTGTTCTCTACCAGATTTGCTTCCACAACCACAGCGGCAACGATGTCATTCGTCTCTACAAGGCTGGCTTGTGGGGTAGCCATTTGATCTTTCCTATCTTTCCTCTGAGTGTATTGATAGGATTTGTGTCTGAGTTTTCCACAGACATAGCATACCAGTTTGGATGTCTCGATTCTTCCACCAGTATTTTTAGGTTGGAGACCTTTGTTCTTTTGAGCTTTTTATCCCTTGCAATTTGCTCCCCTTTGTTCTTGAACTTGTATTTGGAAACATTAGAAGATTCAAYCAAGTTGGCTTTAACYGAATTTAAGRATTGAGAAGAGATCTTATCCTTTAGCCTGTTGGCTTCCTCCATGCGCACGTGACTGATCAGTTCTTACAAAGTCACATCYTTCTTCTTATGTTTCAGGTGGTTGCGATAATCACTCTAGGAAGGAGGAAATTTCTCAAGCAACACATTGGCCTGAAGAATCTCGCACATCTTCATGCCTTCATACAACACASTTGCCACCAGGTTCTCGTACTCATGAACCTGATCCATCACAAGTTTGTCRTCCGACATTTGAAATTGTAGCCATTTACCGACGACGTACTTCCTTTTGYCTGCATCGTCTCCATCATATTTAGACTCTAACATGTCCCAAATRACCTTTGCAGTTTTTTGGACTACAAAGAGATCAAAGAGAGAGTCGTTCATATGGTTGAGAAGACGTCGGCAGACTATTTTGTTGTCTTTATCGAATTTGTCARCTTCGACGATAGTGGCAGCAGAYGTCCCGAGATCAGCATCAACAGTTAAAACGGTGGCAGTAGCAACGACATGTGGATCAATGATGGTTGTGGTGATGGTAGCGGCAGTGGCAATAGCAGCGGCGGTAATGGTGGTAGCGGTAGCAATGACGACAGGTTAAGCAATAGTGAGRATGTAGTCGATCTCCAACTGCTCAAAGAAAATCAGTAACTTCTATGACCATCGACGGTAGTTGAATCCGTCGAGTGGTTCCAATTTTGACAAGTTTGACATGACCTTAAATGAAGTGCTAGGGGAAAGAATTTTCTCCTTTGAAACTCGTACTCATAGAAAAAGGAAAGGATGACAACCGCTTAATATAGCATAGCTATAAATCTTATTCTGCTTAAAAGAAGAAAGGGGCATCTTTCGCTTGACTTTTGTGTTGCGAGTGCATGCGTCCACCACGGTCAGGGCTTTCACAGGTACCTTGTACGTAGTTAAGGTGAAGCTTTGTTTGGTGTTGATTCTAGACTAGACTGGAAATAACCCTATGACWGACCTAGCTGAAATTTGATGTTGATTCGGGAAAAGCGGAATCCGCGGGATAAAAGGTTTGGTTNATAGCATTTACCAACAAAGTAACCATTTTTTGTGATAATAACCTTATTGGCCTCAAACACAATCCTAAGTCCGGCTCGGTTTAGTAGATCTCCTAACACCAGATTCTTACACAGGGAAGGAACAGTACATTACTTAATGATAAAATTTTGCTAGATGTGAGTTTCAAGAGAACCTTCTCTTTCCCAAGTACTCCAACTGTGGTAGAGTTCCTCATAAAAATACATTAACCATCAACAGAGTCCTGAAAGTCATGGAAGAGGTCACAGTTCGAGCAGAAATGTCTGGACGYTCCTGTGTCAAGAATCCAGTCGCATTTGTTCTCTACCAGATTTGCTTCCACAACCACAGCGGCAACGATGTCATTCGTCTCTACAAGGCTGGCTTGTGGGGTAGCCATTTGATCTTTCCTATCTTTCCTCTGAGTGTATTGATAGGATTTGTGTCTGAGTTTTCCACAGACATAGCATACCAGTTTGGATGTCTCGATTCTTCCACCAGTATTTTTAGGTTGGAGACCTTTGTTCTTTTGAGCTTTTTATCCCTTGCAATTTGCTCCCCTTTGTTCTTGAACTTGTATTTGGAAACATTAGAAGATTCAACCAAGTTGGCTTTAACTGAATTTAAGAATTGAGAAGAGATCTTATCCTTTAGCCTGTTGGCTTCCTCCATGCGCACGTGACTGATCAGTTCTTACAAAGTCACATCCTTCTTCTTATGTTTCAGGTGGTTGCGATAATCACTCTAGGAAGGAGGAAATTTCTCAAGCAACACATTGGCCTGAAGAATCTCGCACATCTTCATGCCTTCATACAACACACTTGCCACCAGGTTCTCGTACTCATGAACCTGATCCATCACAAGTTTGTCGTCCGACATTTGAAATTGTAGCCATTTACCGACGACGTACTTCCTTTTGTCTGCATCGTCTCCATCATATTTAGACTCTAACATGTCCCAAATAACCTTTGCAGTTTTTTGGACTACAAAGAGATCAAAGAGAGAGTCGTTCATATGGTTGAGAAGACGTCGGCAGACTATTTTGTTGTCTTTATCGAATTTGTCARCTTCGACGATAGTGGCAGCAGAYGTCCCGAGATCAGCATCAACAGTTAAAACGGTGGCAGTAGCAACGACATGTGGATCAATGATGGTTGTGGTGATGGTAGCGGCAGTGGCAATAGCAGCGGCGGTAATGGTGGTAGCGGTAGCAATGACGACAGGTTAAGCAATAGTGAGGATGTAGTCGATCTCCAACTGCTCAAAGAAAATCAGTAACTTCTATGACCATCGACGGTAGTTGAATCCGTCGAGTGGTTCCAATTTTGACAAGTTTGACATGACCTTTTAGATCGGATAGCAGCCATGGGTAGATAGGGATTTTGCTTTCAACTATAGGAACATAAAGGACAAAATTGGAACCGGGAGGAAAAATCGTTGTGTAGTGGGTGGAACCACTACCTTGAAAGCAAAATCGACATGACCTTGGTGCTACATCGTTTTACTGCCGGTATGCTCCCCAAGGTTAACACAACCTCTAACTCATACGTGCACTCGTTGGAATGGGAGTGAAATCAATCTTGTGCTCAGTTAAGGTAGTGGAAAGAAGTGAAAAAAGTGAAGGAATAGAGTGGAGAATAGGAGAAAATCGAGAATGAATGTGATGAAATGAAATGGTAGGGAATGACTTTTTTATACTGATAGAGTGACCCAAAATAGAATTRAAATTTTAAAAAATAAAAAATTCAAAATGATTATGGTTACCATGTGTCATTTGACTAGCCCTTTCTTCTCTGCGCCACGTTTCTTGACTTCCTTTCAACACGTGTTTTTGACTTTATAGAAGAAATTTGTCCCAAAAAAAAGCTAGGCCCGAGTCTGAGTCTGCCGGACGGCGGCAGCGCGCGTGTGGGCCTTGGTCTTGGCTTACCTCACACCAATTTATAAGTCCAATACACAGTCAATGCTTATAAACCAACTTCCCAAATGTTATGCTTTCGATATAGGACAAAAGCAGGTTAATATTTGTCATTCCAACAACATTTACCTCGAAACAAATTTTACAGAGGTTTCGAAGCTATTAAAAGAAGAAGAAGTAGACATCACCGAAATCTGTTGGATAGTAGACGAAATCAGGACTCTGATGGCTCAAAAATTGGTGGCTTTCGTCCATTCCATTAGCCAAGAGGCAAATTTTTTTGCCCATCAGATTGCGTGACATTTTTCGGAAGAAGAAGAGGTGATCTGGAATGTGGGTTTTTCYAAGTTCCCTGTTGTTGATTTAGATCTTTTTGTTACTTTGATTTTCAAAAAAATAGAAAAAAAAACATTATTTTAACTATTGACAAATGTGAATGACTTTTATTTTTAATATTTTTTTATCAAATTATTTTAAAAAATATACTATACACCAAACTATTTCCAACAATAATATTTGGAGAAAGAGTGATGGTCGCGATAAAATACACTTGTTTTTGTTTTTAATTTTAGATGAGTTGTTTTGGCTCGCATAAAGGTTCAAGTAAGTTGGGTGGAATTTTTGAAAAACAAATAGGAAACCTTTTTAGAAGACGCCTCCTTGGGCTTTTTGAAAAATTTTAAAAAGTGGAGATTTAAATTTTGGGGGTTATTTTAGATTTTAAATTAATTGGAGTGTGGTAATTTGCTATTTTGAATTAAGTTTGTGGGTTTTAAAATTAAACTCTTTGGTTTTATTTTAAAAAAAGAGATTAAAGATTTKAGTTTTAGTTTTGAACCAATTTTTTAATATTATTATTATTTTTTATCTTAACGAGATGCCTCTTAACCTCATTTTAGAAGTGGATGAGGTATTGATTTCATGAGCTTGTCTCCTCCTTCACCTTCAAATTGTAAGAATGCTTATCATCCCACTCCAAAGTGTTAGCTAAGGTCTCTAGGAGATCAAGTCAATTTTAGAAAAAAACGGTTAATATTAATAGAAAAGACTAGTCTTTAACGTTGGATGATTTTCTGTGGACATATAATACAAGTTATAAACTTTTCTTGACATGTCTCTCTATAGATAAATTTTTGGTAAAGTTTGCATTTGCCATTATAATTAGAACATAAAGCATTTTTGGGCGACTAAGAGATTGTCTTTTGACCTTTGCTTCTGCAAGTGAATCAAAGAAGCTCCAATTGTGGAACTTGAGAAGCAAAGAAATTTTTTCTTATGGAAATGCGAAMATTTTTAAAGATAAAACTAAGCAATGACATGATAGCCTTAGGCCTAAAATTTTTGAAGAAGACRGCTTAGTTATGCTTTCTAACTCTGGTTAAATTAATTCCAAAAAAACTAAAGTCTATGATGGTGGTCTACTTTGGAGAAGCAATAGAAAGGGAGAAGACCTCTATCCAATTTTCAGGAAATTGTGAAACTGAAAAGAAAATTTATTTTTCCTTTTCGATTTTTATTTGAAATTTTTTGAAGGAATTTGTGAAAATTAGTTAGGTTTAGTTTTTTCTTTTGTTTTAGTTGTCGAAAATAATTGTGGTTAGGTTGTTTCGGCTGAAATGATATTTTCAGGAAGTTAGTTTGGCGAAATTTTTGGAAAATTGAAAAAAAAAAATTTGAAAAGGTACATGACACCTTAGCCTTTCAAAAAATTAATCTTGGGGTTCATTTAGAATAGAAAGGAAGTTATTGTAGCAGAAATTACTTACTGTAAGTGTACGGGTCAAACTTTAATAAAGTGGTAAGTCAATATCGATATCGTCCTCTGGATTGAGTTTCTATATGACTCAAGTACCACAGATACAATCGCTCAATTTTTATTTAGAGAATCAAAATCAAATGAGAGAATATRATCAAAACAAATAAACATGCAATAATAAAGATAAAAACAATTGGGAGAAATGTCCTCGGGAATTGATTTCACCTATTGAATCTATGAACCAATTAATCAATTACTCAATATTGAACGAATTAGATATTCTATAGGCCAAGAACTCTCAAATCTCRACTGTCTCTCCTGAGCGTAAGCTAATTCTTCTTACCAATTATGAAACCAATATCCATATCTAGTTACAAGTAAAGACTTTATTGAACAAGTCTTTTAACGACCTCTAAAGGACTTTTAAATCTCTCGATCTTAAAACCCTTTACTTATGCATCCCAGTTCTAACTCTAAACCACCTCTCCCGAGCATAAGATTTCAAGTCTAAAATCAATCAATCTATGCCAGTAGATTCAAGGTATGAAGCATAGAGAAACATACATAGAACATTCATAAACTTTCAATCAAGAAAACTAAACAATCAATGCATAAAGTTCAATGGCTACATCAATCCCTAAGATAAGAGGTTTAGCTTCTCATAGTCAATGTAAAACAATAAAATCACAATGAGAATTCCATAACAAAACTAGAAAAATCAAGGGAAAGGAGAAGAAACTATGTTCCGCGTATCGATCATCTGTTCTCGAAGCGAGCTCCACGATCCTGAGCCTTGAAAATCTCTTTTCTAAGCTCTCCAATGGTCGCCTTGCCCTCCAAATTGACCAAAAAGGCAAACTGCCAAAAAACCTCTCTCAAACTCCTCATTCTCGACGGCTGCAAAACCCTAGTTTTATAAAAAAATCGTTGCGGCAGCGCCATGGCCCTATATGCAGGGCCATGTCACTATATACAGGGCCATGGCGCTACACTATTCACAAAATAGGAAATTTAAACTTCGGAGCGCCACGACGCTCTCGGGTTTTGGCTTCAAATCTTGTTGTTATTCCATGTTGGACACTTTGATTCCAATTTTTCTCTCATTTTGATCCAAATATGTCTCGTTTCTCTCGGTACTTTATTCCTGCAAAATATATCTTATGTGCTTAAATTTGTCATGAAGAAACGAAAACTAACAAATAATTTCAATATAAATCTCATGAAATGTAGCTCACAAAGTGTGCTATCAAATACCCCCAAACTTAGCTTTTTGCTTGTCCTTAACCAAACATAACTACTTTGTATCCAATGTTCTCATACATAATACATAAAAGTTAAAGGGTGTAAATCTCATCTTATCAAATTCCCCCCACCTAAATCATGCTTATCCTCAATTATATCTTAATTCAACATACTGAATCTCCTTTCTAATCACCTTTCACCTTTCTCAATAAYCAATAATACAAGTAAAGTCAATCACACATATATGAGATGAACCGAAATGACAATTAAGAGAAAAAGCAATGGTAGGATATAATTTTTAAAAACTCAAGCATCTCATTAACTTATTGAAATCAAATATAAAAGACTTAACACCCTCACAAACTTTCACTCAAATCTCTCAAAGTGTTTTTAGGGGTGTTTTTAACTCTCAAAATCAAAACAAAGCATGTTATTACCATAGGCTTGCAAATGAACCAAATCTGCCCACTTAAAGATAAATTGAATGCAAAAATCAAAGAGACTTTAATAATGGATGTAATGGGGCTTAGGTAAGGGTGAGATAAAAGGGAATCTAAAGGTTCAAAGTCAAGATAACAAAGATGATAAGTTACATGATAGTCACATAAGACAATGAACTACGATTCGTTTGAATTATATGCCCCCATCTTCGAATACTAACGATCTTGGAGAAGTGACATCAATTAATTGCTTCTTGAAAAATATTTCTCCGTATAAACGACACAACGTAGTTTCTTTTCATGATCAAAACACCAC